TAGGGATTCGCCCTCAAAAAATAAGGGCATCCCTAAGATTGGCATCGTGATGAGGAGGTGCCCAGCATAGGGATAGGGATATGTTCCAGGCTGGTTGGTAACGGAAGGCCCCGGGGGTCCGGGCGGGGCCCCAGCAGCGCAGCGACCCGTTGCCCCAGGACCGCTCTTCCTTAAGGACCGATGGGGGGGACAAGCAGCGGCGTCGGTCACAACAGCGCGGGCTCCGGCAGCCCTGCCCGGGCCCAGAAGCATATGCCATCTCTCGGGAGGGCAGCTTCTACCTCCGCCAGCTCCGGCAAGCGGAGCCGCACGCGCCTGGCTGCCGCCGCCCTGCCGCCACCTTCCGCCGAGGACGACGTGCCAGCCTATCCCCTTGCAGAGCCACCTCTGGAGCGCCCCCGCACTTGCTCTCCAGGAGTGCGAAAAAAAAGCGCTGCGCAAGGGTAAGCTCTTGGAGGTCCGCGCGGGTGTCTCAGATCGGCGCTGGACCCCCCCCCAGCAGCGCGGAGCGCGCCAAGGGCGCCCGCCCCTCCCCTGGGCGCGCGGAGCGCACCCAGGGGCGGCGCTCAGGAGGCACCGCCAGGGGGGCCCAGCGCCGATCCAAGACATCTGCGCGGAGCTCCGCAGATCCCCAGAGCTGTAGACGAGCAGGCTGCGGGGGATCTATCCATCTACACCTCTCGGGACCCTGCGCGGAAGCATCTCGGAGCCTCAGCGGTCCACCTTGGCGCCATCTTGGAGCATATTGGGCTGTTTCTGGAAGTCTACTGGGAGCGTTGGCCCTGCCGCCCAGGGACCTCAGAGGGCTCCACTGGACTGTCAAGGAACGGCTTGGGGGCGCCCTGGATCGCTGTTCTGTTCACGTAGTGGTTCCTTCTTCGATTCTCTCCCCTTAGTGGCCTCCGAGAAGGTGTCGGGGCAGATTGGGTCTGAGGATCGCGCTGCATCGTCAGTACATCACCGATGCACTGACGATGCATTGGCGACGTCGGCGATGCATCGGCGACGTCCTCGTCTAGAAAGCTGGGGCTCCACACCGAGCCCCATCGCCGATGCATCGGCGATGCAGCGCAATCCTCCGACCCCATCTACAGTCGGGTTGCTGACGTAAAGAACGATGAAGAAAGAACTAAGCCCCGTTTCTCAAAGTCGAGCCATGAATTCCGAAGGAACGGCAGCAACGTCCGAAGGAACACCGAAGGAGGAACACCGAAGGGGCTCGCCACCAGACAAGCAACGGAGCGCACGAAACTCAGCCAACCCTGAGGGTTCTCCGAGCCCCCCCCCCAGGCCTCGGAAAACAAAAGCGAACACTCATGCCAGATTCATCGGTCACCACCTCCCCCTCCCCCCAATGTTCAAAAATGGGGGTTGGCGGTGGGTATGATGAGTTGCACCTCGACCGCAAGTCTCCTTCGCGCGAGCCAAATGTGAGTTTTGGGGAGAGGGGGAGTGTCCACTCCGACCCCGCCTGGGAGGCCTGTCTTCGGCTGCACGCACGAGCGATCCTGAGCGCGCCTTTCGGGGGGCGCAGAGGGGGCCAAAGCGGAGCGCGCACGCCGCTGCCATCGCATCGCATTCGGCCGTCTGGGAACCCGTATGCCTGCACCGAAGGTCGCTCCAACGAAAGGACTCTCCTACATGCAATCGATATTAGAGGCCTCCTAGATAGGGTCCAAGCAGATGGGGTCGGAGGATCGCGCCGCATCGCCGATACATCGGCGATGCATCGTCGATGCATCGGCGATGCATCGGCGATGCAACGGCGACGCATCGTCGACGTCGGCGATGCATCGGCGACGTCGACGTGAAGCAAATCGGGCTCCGCATCGAGCCGCATCGCCGATGAATCGGCTATGCGGCGCCATCCTCCGTCCCCATCCCATCTGGGAGGCCCAGAGATAGATGGGCGATTTCGAAGGACCCTGAACACAAAATTGATTCTTCGGGGCACATATTTCACTTCCGCCGCCTTCCGCCAAGCTTTCGCCGAGCTTCCGCCGGCGGAGGCGGCCTCCATTTACTTCCGCCGACCTTCCGCCGCCCTTCCGCCGCCTTCCGCCGCGGAAGAGATGACGACTTCTTCGGACCTCGAAGGCCACGCCATGAGGAGGAGGAGGAGGAGGAGGAGGAGGAGGAGGAGGAGGAGGAGGAGGAGGAGGAGGAGGAGGAGGAGGAGAGGAGGAGGAGGAGGAGGAGGAGGAGGAGGAGGAGGAGGAGGAGGAGGAGGAGGAGGAGGAGGAGGAGGAGGAGGAGTCTGGAACGCTCATATGCCCCCCCCCCCCCCGGGGAGCCTCGGGACCCTGCCGCGCCGGGCGCGCCCAGAGCGGCCTGCCCGCGGCGCCGCCGCCCAGCAGCAGCAGCAGCCCCCCAGCGCGAGGAGGGCGCGCCCGCGGCGCCCGGGCGCCGCGGCCGCCAGCCGCGCCGGGGCGCCGCCGCAGCGCGGCAGGGCCGCCAGTCGCGGGGGCGCGGGGGCCCCGCGCACGGCGCCGGCGAGGGCCTATGGGGCGTAATGGGCAGCCGATGAGCCTGACCGTCCAGGAGGGCTAGCACAAGAACGCCAGGGACCTTGGTGCGCAGATTCCAGTCGAGGGTCCATGTAGGCCCGCAGGTCTGGAGTGTTGCTGTTGCTGTTGCTGCTGCTGTTGTTGGTGGTGGGGGTGGTGTTGCTGCTGTTGCTGCTGCTGGTGTTGGTTTGCTGTGCTTAATGCTGTTGGTGTTGCTGTTGTTTTGTTTAGTAGTAGTAGTAGTAGTAGTAGTAGTAGTAGTAGTAGTAGTAGTAGTAGTAGTAGTAGTAGTAGTAGTAGCAGCAGCAGGAGTAGTAGTAGTAGTAGTAGTAGTAGTAGTAGTAGTAGTAGTAGTAGTCGTAGTAGTAGTAGCAGCAGCAGCAGCAGCAGCAGTAGTAGTAGTAGTAGTAGTAGTGGTTGTTGTTATGGTTGTTGTTGTTTGTTTGTTTGTTTGTTTGTTTGTTTGTTTGTGTGTTTGTTTGTTTGTTTGTTTGTTCGTGTTGCTGTTGTTGCTGCTGTTGTTGCTGTTTTTGTTGTTCCTGTTTGTGCTCCTGTTGCTAATGGTGTTGTTGTTGGTGGTGTTGTTGCTGTTGTGGTTGTTGTTGTTGTTGGTGGTGGTGGTTGTGTTGTTGCTGCTGCTGTTGTTGATTCTTGTTTTTAGCCCTCCTGGAGGTCCGGGAACTAGTGGTGGAGAAACTTGCACCTTTCGTCGCCATTTGGGGGCCCAGAGGGCGCCCTTTATAATTGGTCGGTTGGGACGCGATCGAACAACGTGTAAGCTGCTCCTGACTACATCTCTCGAACGGCAACAAAACCACTGGCTCTTTGTAGGGCACAAGAGGTGCACCTTTCTTCACCTGCCCCGATGTTCGCCCCCCCCATTACAAAACGCCCGAGGGCCATGGCGTCGGGCATGTCCGGGTGCTGCTGGGATCGGCGGCGAGCCCAGGGGGGGATCCTGATATCCTGGTGAACGTTTTTTATTCGGCGTTTCGACACTGAGCGGCAAGGGGGGGGCACAGGGGGGGTGTCTGGCTCCGGACCTTTGCTCAGCGCGACCGTTTGCAACAGTGCGTCCTGTGGGGGAAAACTACACCTGCTTGAAGCAGGAGCCAAAAACAGTCAAGGTCTGCTCCACTGGGGGGGTGGAGGCGGGGCGGGGGGTGCGAGAGCAGGCGCCGATCGGCAAAACAGGAGTTAGGTCGGGCGTGTCTCCCAACAGGCCGGTTTTTGGCAAAACAACAAAAATACTCCAAATGTTCCCAAACAGTGCAAAAGAATATACTAAACAAAAAATCCTCCCCTGACTATTTGTCCTACTGTCTTTGGAAATTCCCCCTGTAGAGGGACACGCCCGACTGAAAGCAAGAGATAAAACAAACGATCACCTGGAGATGCCCCTGCTCCACAAACGGGCCTCGTCGCCCGACGTCGGGCCTCCGGGGCCCTGACGGAGCGAGCTGGCTCGAGAGCTGACGCCGAGCGATGGGATCTCGTGATCTGCTGGCGACGGCTGCATCTGTGTTGCGCGACGTCGGACCTCAGCGAAGGCCGAGGGGGCAGGCCTTGCCAGGAGGCTCAAAGGCCTCCCAGGCCTCCTCCAAGAGCTTTCCAGGCCTGCCCCGAAGACACAGACGGCCTCTCAGCAGGCGCGAGGGCCTCTGAGAGGCACCGCCGTCTGAAAAGGCCCTGCCCCCTCTCACTTCCCGCCCAGGCTCGCCACCGATATGAGCTGAGGGGCAACGACATGGGGGGACACATCGACCTAGAAGCGGCGACACACCGCCGATAGAGCGGCGATCTGACGATGAGACCCCGACAACGTATCAGCACGGTCCCAGGAGGTGCGGGCTGTCGGGCCCCTGCCAGCGACGAAGGCGCTACTGGGGGTCGATGCGCCCCCCCTGAGCCTATCTCCCCCAAGCGATGCCTCCGAGAAGCGGTCCTGGCCCAATGTGCTCTGAGTCTTGCTGGCCCTTTTTTGCGTTTCGGGCCCCCCCCTGGGGTTTCGCGTTCCTCCTCCTCCTCCTCCTCCTCCTCCACCTCCTCCTCCTCCTCCTCCTCCTTTTCCCCGTCCTCCCCCTCATCCTCCTCCTCCTCCTCCTCCTCCTCCTCCTCCTCCTCCTCCTCCTCCTCCTCCCCTCCTCCTCTTCGAAGCCAGCTGCGCCCTCCCCGGGGAAGCGGTGGCCACCCAACACCAGAGATTTCGGCCCAGAACACGGCGCCAACACAAACGCCGGGGGGGGGAGGAGGGGTGACTTTTAAGACTATGTGACGTGCGCTGCTTTCTCGCGCCGCGGCTGTTTCGTTCGTTGTTGTTCCCTCTAAGTGTTATTGTGTGCCCCTTTTCATGTTCTTATCATGTTACTGGGTGTTCGGTCTCTCTCTCTCTCTCTCCCTCTCTCTCTATATATAGATATGTGTATATCTATGTGTCCCTCTCTGTGTCTCTTGATGTCTTTCTCTCTCTCTCTCTCTCTATATATATATATATGACGCCGAGTTCAAGTAAAAAACCCATACGTCGGACATCAGCGCATTCGTCAACATCTGCTCCAGCATCGACGCCGCCATCTATACCATCATCTACAGCATCATCATCATAGGTTGTGGGGCGTTCTGTTGTTGTTCCTGTTGTACCCATTGCTATTGCATCATTGTTGTTGCTTCTTACTGCAGGGATGGCAATGGAGAAGGAGATTGAGTGATGTCGCAGACCGAGGACCAGCCATCTCGAGGAAGTGGAAGAGCGGGGGGGGGAGGAACATCACTCGCTCTCTCTCTCTCTCTCTCCATCCTCGTGTGACGCGAGCCGCGGCGGTCAGAGATTGAGCAAAGGAAAGAATGGAGTCTGCGGCCATTGAATGAATGAATGGATGGATGGGTGAATGAATGAATGGATGGAAAATCACATTATCTCTCGCCCGCCCATGGGTTGGACACCTGGTGCGCCCAATGTCCAACCCATGGGCGGGGCCCCGCGACTAGCCCGCACCCACGTGCCCAAACGAATCACAGCATCTCTCTCCCGCCCATGCGTCGGGCAAGCGGGGGCTGCGTCTCTGAAGCGAATCGCATAATCTCGCGCCCGCCCATGGTTAGGACACGCTGCGCACCCCATGTCCAACCCATGGGCGGTGGCCCGAAGCCAGCCCGCCCTCGGATGCCAGCGCGAAACATATATTCTTTCTCCCGCCCATGGTTTGGGCACGTGGTGACTGTGTGTCCAACCCATGGGTTGGACGCGGCCCGCGAGCTGGGCGCGCTCGCATACATGCGCGGGGGGATGCAGGGAGTCGAGTGCGCCCAGGGCAGAGCGGATAACACAAAACGAGATCTCAGAGGACGCATGCATTTCAATCGCATTGACCTGCATTGCGCTCGCATTGCATTGGGATCGCATTGCATCGCATTGCAATCACATTCAATGGCAATCTCCCTCCTCCTCCCTCCTCCCTCCTCCTCCATGCCTCCCTCTTCCTCCATGCCTCCTTGCACTCCCTGCTCCCTCTTCAGAAAGACAAAGAGAGAGAGAGAGAGAGAGATAGAAAAAGAGAGAGAGAGAGAGAAAGAAAGAGAGAGAGAGAGAGAGAACACCCCAAAAAACAAAAAGGGAGGAGGAGGAGGAGGACCTTCCCTTCGCGCAAGGATTTTTGGTGGTTCTCTGGTAGAGTCACAAGGATTATTGGTGTCCAGCTTGATTGTATTTGTTGTCCAATGACAATCACAGGCTTCCTTGTCTTAGGGCCACGAAACCTATGACACTACCAAAAAACATCAAAAACAACTTGCTACACTACGAATAGAAAGAACAGAAATCAAAGGTTTTCGGACCTCTCACTCCTGGCGGGCCCTCCTGGAGTCCGGAGTCGGCCCTCCTTTGATTGTTGTTTTTTTTGGTAGTGTCACCGTTTTTTGGGGGGGGGAGGGGGGGGGAGTGTCACAGGTTACGCGGCTCCAAGACGCGATTCCATTGTTTTTCCCTACCTAGGCTCTGCCTAGGCGGTTCTTGCTTTATTTGCTTAAAGGGGCCGGGCAGTGGAAAACGCCCCGGGCGGTTCCCCCAGCATCCGCCCCGCGGTTGCCCCAGCTGCGTCCCCTTAGCTTAGCGTTGCGCTCGTGTGTGCCAACCGCGTTGCCACTTTAGTTTTCTGTTCGGGTAATAAGCATGGGTGTAATTCCCTACCTAGGCTCTGCCTGGAGGGCTAGCTTAGCTTAGCTTAGCATAGCGCAGCGCTGCATTAGCATAGCATAGCATAGCATACCATAGCCAAGCATAGCACATCATATCATAACATGGCGCAGTATAGCATAGCAGAGCATATCAAATCATAGCATACCATAGCACAGCGCAGCTTAGCATAGCATATCAAATCATATCATAGCACAGCATAGCACAGCATGACATATCATAGCTTAGCATATCATAACATAGCATAGCGCAGCATAGCACAGCAAATCATAACATCGCATAGAATGGCATAACAAAGAATAGCATAACATGGCAACTAATGCTGCTTTCCTAGGGGCTCCAACTTCTAGGTCGGGTCGCCCCGGGGTAGCCCAGTGCGACCCTAACTACGTAGGAGTTGGAGCCTGTAGGAAAGCAACATCTACATCTACACCTACACCGACAGCTACAATTACATCTACACCTGCGTCTACATTTACATCAACAACAACAGCGAGACCCACATTTACATCTACATCCACGGTTTTGCTATGCTATGATATGCTGTGCTGTGCTATGCTATGCTGCGATGCGCTATGGTAAGCAATACTATGATCTGCGATGTTATGCTATGATGCGCTATGCTCTGCTGCGCTATGTTATGCTATGGTTTGGTATGATTGGTTATGATGTGTTATGGTTTGTTATGCTTGGCTATGCTATAATACGCTATGATGTGCTAGTGCTGCGCCGCGCTACGCTGCGCTAAGCTAAGCTAAGGTAAGCTAAGCTATGCTAAGCTAAGCTAAGCCAGGCTAGGCT